CTGAGATAATCTTTAAACTTCAAACCAAAAATATCATCTTTAAAAACAAAACAGTAGTTAGCTTAACTAACAAAGGTCTGCCTTGAGCAGTGTGCCCTTTTAAGGTCTATACTGGATCAAACAAACAACAGTCACTCAAAAGATTAGATAGGTATCTTAGGGGGTAATGGTTTTAGTTTCTAATGAACAACTCAGAAAAGGAGAGTGAGAATGGTTGTACAATTTGAAGAATATAATCAATGTCACAAAATTGTACATGTAAACACTATTGAACTGATGTATATTTCTGCTGTGTATATTTTCAACAACAAAATAAAAACAAACTATAAACACCAAAGAGTCCCTTAATTTCTGTCAGTTTATAAAAATAACTAAAAATGTGCCAAAGGGAAGGGGGTGGGAATAGTACATATTGTGTACGAAATGCCACACCAGTGCTGTGACACAAATCCTCTACAGTATTGTTTTGATTTTACAGAATGAACAAAAGGAAGCTCGTGAAGGTTAAGTGGCTCTTTCAATGCTAATGAATTCAATTCCATGTATGATTTTTACATCAAGAACCATGTTCATTTCACTACTCTGTAATGTTCCTAATTTAGTAAAGCAAAGTAGTAATTCTACTCTAATCCTTGGAAGCCTAATCAAGGGGGAGGGGGTGGGAAGGTCCAACAATCTCAAAACTAAAAGCCATAAAAAATCCACAAAACAAAGACAATGAGTGATTTTCCTGTATTTTATGAGAAGGTATCGGCTATTGGAAGGAGATCTGCTTCCTATTACAGTGAATGACACCTGTTGATTGAGAGCTAGAACACTAGGACACTGCCTTGTTTTTCTTGTTCTTGCAAGTTTTCTGCCTTTGACAGAGTGTGGTCTTACACTTTTCTATTGCTCATTTTAGTGGAACATACTTGTTTTCCTTCTCTTGACAAGTTTCTGCCTTACATAGGTCTTGGCTTTCACAGGTTTTACTGGATACTGGACATTATACTTTACTGTCTGTTTAATCACATAATAAAAAGATCATAAAGTTGGCGGTTCAAACCCACCAGCCACTCCTCGGAAACACTATACAGGGTCACTATGCATTGAAACCAATTCAACAGCACTTACAAACCACACTGCGTATTTTAGAAATAATTTGGAGTTATAGTCAATGTACATGGTTGAAATAAGATTATACTTTGTACTTTGCTGTGGGTATGGTTACCTTTCAATAAAAAGTTAAAAAAAAACAAAAAACCTACCATCCATACCAAACAATAGAGGCAGACCGACTGTTACTACAAGAACAAGCAAGTTGCTTGCCCAGGAGATATCAAGCCAAGTGGTCGGGGCCTCCCCAGTGCAAACTCCCTCCCAAGACTAAGACTCAATGGGAATACATGCTCTGATTGGTGACCACACTCGTCACCAATAAGGGGAAGCGAGGGAAAAACAGCAATGAAGCGGCGAGTTAAGCCCTACAACATTCAATAGACTTCTGTGAACCCGGGTGGAGACCTGGTTGCCCAGCAGTGTAGCAAGACCTGGGGACTCTTGGGCCCAGAGTCAGTGACATAGCCACAGTGGACTAGAGTGGAAAGTGAAGCATCCAGCTGATAAGAAGAGAGGGCAAATGCACAAGCACACCCATACATGCAGATAATACCCACTTGACCTGGCTTCAATGACTGGATGATCGTAGCTCAACCAGAAGAAGACAGGAAAAAAAAAAAAAAAGAGAGTAATCTGATACAATTTGATGAACTTGATCTACATCTATGGATGCAGTAGCTCAAAAGAGAAAACAAATCCTTACAGCAAGGATCATCCCTCCACACATAGAGTAGACAGGGATGGGCAACATGGATATTGGCTACCCAAGATGGGGAGGGGCTACAAATGCAAGAAGTGACTGGCTTACAAGCTTTCAAGAGGGAACCTAGATCCAGAGGACATGGAAGGTAGAATCTCCAGTGAGTAGTATCCAATCTGTCGAGGTGGGGCTGATGAAATGAAATGCAGATAGGCCTCTTGTGATACAATAGTGAATAACTGTTATCAGAACTGATTGTGAGGGTTGGAAACGTAAAGGTAGACGTTTTATAGCAAGGAGGGGAGTGATTAACTTTGCAGTCTAGGAGCGGAGGTCCCTGGGACCATCAATGGAGAAAAGCGGAGAGTGGGACTGTAGCTACCCAGAGAAGCAGTGATGCCTGAGATGGAGGCAGAGATGATGGTGTGGAGAGATGGAGCAGCTGGGGACTTTAAATGCAGAGAGGGAGAGGGGCTGTGTGCTGACGACCAGGATGCAGGCTTGTAGTATATTCCCTTTGATTCACTGATGATGTATGGAGGGGATTGTAACCATGGCAATGAGAAGCTATAGGATAGAATGAATGTAACACTAATGTTCTCCCATGTAAACTATCACATAATTCACAGTAAAACATTAAAAAAAAAAGGGAAGAAAGGAATAGCCAGAAATATCACCATAGAAAGCTTGTAAGTCCATCTTCAGCCTAACTGATTGGAATACCTAAAATGGGTCTACAACTTTCCCAGTGAAGGAGGCTTGCTGTGGAGCCTATGCATTGCATAAGACCATAGGTGGAATCCTGAACCCCATCCAGAATCTTCCTAGGTGTGAAGTTTCCACTTGAGAAGATAAGCAGACCAGCCTGGAGCGGCTAGAAGAATAAAAGATACTTCTTGAAAGAAAGACCAGCAGGAAAAATCAAAAACAGTAACGGCAGCCTGATTGACTACTTCAAGAACAAGTAAATTGTTGGCCCAGGAGACATCAAGGTAAGCGGTGGGTTGGGTCCCCTCAGGGCAAACCACTTTCTAAGACTAAGACTCAAGTGGAATACACGAGCAGGCATGTGGTTGGTCTTGCTGGTGACCACATTGGTCTATGGATAAAAGGAAGTGGTGGGGACACAGCAATGAAGTTTTGAGCTAAGTCCAACCAAGTTCAACAGACGCCTGTCAAACTGGAATGAGACCTGGTTGGCCAGCAGTATGGCAAGACCTGGGGACTCCTGGGCCCAGAAACGGACATGGCCATAGAGGACTAGAGTGGAGAGTGAAGCGACCAGCTTATATGAAGTGAGGGGAGATGAACAAGAACACCCACACTTGCAGACAGTACCTACTTGATTTGGCTTCAATGGCTGGATGATCAGTACTCAACTAGAGGAAGAAAGAAGGAAAAAAAGAGTAGTCCACTACAATTTGATGAACTTGACCTATGCCTCTGGATGCAGTGAGGCAAAGGAGGGAACAAATCTTTACAGTGAGGGTCATTAACAGACCCTTGGTACACAGGATTGACAAGAATGGGAAACTTACACATTGGCTACTCAAAATGGGGAGGCTACAAAGGCAAGATGTGACTGACTTACAAGCTTTCAAGAGGGAACCTAGTTCCAGAGGGTACGGGGAAAGGTAGAATCTCCACTGAGAGGTTTCCAGCCTATCTGAACAGCGCTGACGAAAGGAGGTGGGGATAGGACTCTTGTGGTTCAATAGTGAGTAACTGCTATCAGGACTGTGAGGTAAAGGTAGACATTTTGTAACAAAAGGAGGGGAGTGGTTGATTTTTGCAGTCCAGGAGCAGACGTCTCTGGAACCATTAAGAGAGAAGAGTGGAGTGTGGGGCCCTGTCCAGAAAAGTAGTGACGCCAGAGATGGAGGTAGAGAGGATGATGTGGTGAGAAGGAGCGGCAGGGGATTGTAATCATTGAAATGAAATGAAATATGATAGGACGAATGTAAAGATAATGTTCTCTCATGTAAACTTTCACACAATTCACAATAAAAACTTAAAAAAAAAA